GTTTGTGGGCATGGAGGTGACAGCGGATCCTGGGCCGAGTGATCGTTCTGTCCTGACATTGCAGGCCTCGCACAGGAGTGAGGATGTTTGGCTTGGCATGGATGTTCAGGTGGATAGGTGCCGCGAGCACCTGCGGGGTTTGTCGCATTTGCACGTCGACGACAGAGTACTAGCCTATGTTAGTGCTGCAGGTTTTTATACTCTTCACAGATTAGTGGCTACTGTGCCTCTAGATAGAGCGCTTCTCACTGCTCTACTTGAGCGTTGGAGGCAGGAGACACACTCATTTCACCTCCCCGTTGGAGAGGTGACAGTGACATTGGGAGATGTTGCTGTACTTACCGGGTTAGAGGTTTATGGGAGAGCTGTTACAGGCACTGCTTGTCGACAGTGGGTGGATGAGTGTGAGCGGTTGTTAGGTATCCGCCCCGTTCTTATGACTGGCCTTCAGGGGTCATCTCTGAGGATGCCATGGTTGAGGGAGCACTTCCAGGTGCTTCCTCCTGACGCTGATGAGGTGATGATTCAGCAGCATGCTCGGGCTTATATATCGATGATGATGGGAGCCTCCATTTTCGCTGACAAGAGCGGAAATGAGGTTCAGGTGCTGCACTTGCCTTTGCTAGAGAGGTTTGATGTAGCAGCACAGTTCAGCTGGGGTAGTGCCACCCTGGCTTATCTGTACAGACAACTTTGTCGCGGCTGCCAGAGAGGGAGCACAAAGCTTGGGGGATTTTTGCTACTCCTCCAGATTTGGTCATGGGAGTATATCCACATTGGGCGTCTCATTATAGTCGGATATCATGGCATTGATGGACAGCCACTGCCTGATGAGCCTCCACGTCTTCTAGGACCACATCATGTACGGGGCGAGGACCCTCTAGGACGTCGGTATGTATTCAATCGTTTGTATTTATGTGAGTGTATGTTGTGTGTAAATACATTAATAATATCCATATTAATGATACTGTTACATGAATGGTTAGATGGCTATATGCTGGTCTATCTCGCATGTCATCCGTTACTGGACTTGGTGTGTACAGGGATGCATTTGATCGGATGTCTGAGGACCAGGTATGGTGTGGGTAGTATAACATTAACTATAATATGTATAGAAAATCTCCTAATTTTGTATCTTTATGAAACAGATTACATGGATGCCGTTTACACCTGAGATGTTAACAGAGTTGCCCCCAGCTGGACGAGAGCATACTCACATATGGCGAGCACGTGTGCCGTTGATATGTTTTGACATTGTTGAGCTTCATTTTCCTGATAGAGTCTTGCGACAGTTTGGGTTTGAGATGGTCGTTCCACGGCCTATCGACACTTATGTTGAGCTGCATAGGCTGGATAGGCGTGGGAAGCATACAGAGGATTGGACACTCAGACATGTTCGATATGTGACTATGTGGGAAAGGAGAGCTGAGCTAGTTGTTGCTATGACACTGACATATGTGCCATCTGTTTCAGGAGACTACATGGGATGGTATTATAGCATCACTCGTTTGTTTGTGTCTCCTTCGTTCAGACTCCCTACTCATCATTATCAGCCTAGCTCCTAGGCTTTGCATCTTACGATGAGTATATTAGTAATTAGTAAAGTAAGTCATTTTATTTATGTAATATTTGTATGTATTTCAGTGTAAATGTAATTGTGTTTCATATTTCAGACACGAGTTTTGCAGCGCATACATCAGCGGGCTACTGCCACAGTGACTGATAGTCATGATGTGGACATGTATGGACAGGCTCTGACAGACATTGCGTCCTTGTGTTCAGATGTGTTGGGGCGAGTCGACTACGACCATCTTATACACATGCCCCCATCTCAGGAGATGCCATCCACGTCTAGTGCAACGGCGACTTCATCATCCCAGACGCAGCATGAGAGAGTGGTTCTTCAACCACGACAACGGCGTAGGCGTAGACATGAGCAACAACATCTCCAGGACGAAGCTGACGATGAGAACTTGTAGTTTGTCTTTTGTATTGTAGTTTTTCTTATGCAGTAGATGTTGTAGGAACAATTTACAACATTTGACGTATTTTCTCTTGTAAAGTCTTGTACGTTGTCTTGATGTGTTCGAGTATGAATATTAGATGATTACTTGTTATGAATATTGGATGATTGTACTGTGTTATACCGGTTATGAATGGAAGGTTTTGTATTTGATTTGTAAAGGGTATTTTCAAGGTGTTTTTTATGTTGATGAGAGTAGGTGTTATGTATGTGATTGTGAAGACGTGTGTTGTTGTTTTATAATGTGTTGTATCTGGCTCGCAACACTTAAACAGGAGAAGAGAGACCTTATTTATAGCAAACAGATGAGTCCGGGTTAAACTGGGGCGAAAAACTTGCTGAAATGCTGTTTTCGGACCTAGGCACGATCGTGCGTCCCAGGGTACGCACGATCGTGCGTGGCTGGCAGTAGCTGCTCGCTTTCAACCATATTTCAGGGGTAAATCGCCCAACGGTTGGGCGACTTACCCCTGACCATGGTTAAGGCCAACAGTAGATCGGTAAATACTTTTTTTCCAGCATTATTTTCGTAATTAATTATTTAATTAACATTAATTCGAAAAAAAACTCGTTTTTTTTTTACCCCATGTTGAGATTTGAGAGCAAGTTAGCAAAGAAAGAGAACATAAATATCAACACAAGTGTTTAGAAAAAGAATTTTCTTGTAGTTGCATTTTAGATGCTGGGGTAGAAAAATTGAGGCCGTAAAAATCTCTTTAATTTTACTCCGTAGAATGGAAGGGCAAGAGCAACGGTAGCGGCGAGGACACACAACAAGGCATCGTGGACCAGCACGTGTGTGGGATCGTCGGTGAGCGGCCACCCTTTTAATTCCTTCTCCACATCTTTCCCTGCCCGCCGGCTCTCTACTCTATAGACTCTATACCCCCTCCGCACCCACCCCCGCCTCGCCGCATCGCTTACAGATTCGGCGCCCAAAACCTCTGCTCGCAGCCTCACTCTGATCCACTGCCAGCGTGTTCGATGATAGCCTACGCCTTTGAGCGCTCGTCGTGATGGTAATTCACTAATTCTCTGTGCTTCCTTCGATCTCGTGTGGTTCTGATTGGAAATTGACTAGTCAGCTCCCGATTTCCAGCTTAGCTACCCGTTTTATGCAGTAATTCACTGTCTGATTGATTAGAAAACCGTGGAAGTGCTCTGATTAGATTTGTTTATTCCTGTGTTGTTTATTTGGCTGTGAAACTGGAGATTAGACGAAAATCAATTATGTTTTCTTTGTTAGTTCGTATACGAATCTTTGGCAGATCTTTGGATGGTTCTTTTATTTCAAATTTGTAGCTCCGCCGTTTTCTGCCTATTTGTTTATCGTTTTTGTGTTTACAGTTTATCTGCATAACTGGGCTGTGGTGGTATTAACTACGGAGTATTATGTTTAAGGGAAATTGGTTTATTTAGCCCTCAAGTTGTTGTTATTGTGATATATACTGGAGTCACTCCACAACGTTATTAGTCCGACTCCTTTTTAGTTTTCACACGCCAGTTATTATCTTGGCTATTAAATAATTATTATGATGGTGTCATTTCCCTCAGCAATTGTTGCTCAATAGAAAAGCACGTTATTTCTTGAGGCTATTATTTTGTTTACATATTTAATCTATTTAGATCTTTGATCATCATCTTAAGACCATACTAATACCCATTGCTGTCATACAAATACAATAGAGTAATAAAGTTAATGTCTTTGAATTTGTTTCATTATACACAGATCAGTTTATGTTGCTCTGATGGTGTGTAATCGTGTATATTCGTATAGTATCCGGTGGACTTCTTTACCCTTCTCATTGAAACTCTTAGGATTTGTTGAAATCCGGATATCGCTACAAAAAATGAGGGACAAAATGATAGAGAAAAAATTGGAGGAAAGAGATAATATAGGGACAAAAATATACAGAATATAAATTTAGTTATATATATATTGTAGATGTTTTATTTATTCCCGTTTATTATATTGGAAACTAAATACTCTGAGTTTTAATAAATTTAATCATTGACCATTCATTTGCCCTGAAACTAGGATAAATGTATCAAGACCTAGAGCTTCTAAGCCTATCAAAATCAGATCAAAAAATATAAAAGGAGTAAAAACTTGTTTGTGACTTTTCAGACTTTGTTTTGAACTGGAAAGATATTAGTGAAAATTATAGAGAAAGAAGTATAATTAGACAGACATGCCTATATCAGTATAGTTGCAAACCCAATTTATTTCATTATTTCTTTCTACTCCGTATTTACTTAAGGAGTTAGAAACAAGAATATATGAAAACCTATTAAAGAAATAATCATATTTGATTTTGTTTCATGTCTTTTTGCAAAACCAAGTCCAGTTTCATATGTCGATTCATGTTAGCCGAGCCCAAATCTTTTGGGACTAAGGTGTGGATGTTGTTGATGCATTAATTGTTTATGGACTTACAGTATATAGACTGAGTCTACTATAGCCTAATATCTTTAAGGGATAACTATTTTATTGTCCCCATATTTAATTGAGTCTATTACAAGGATCCTCAGTGTGTTTCACCATTTGGAAGAACTTTTGTCTTTTTTATAGTCTCCAGTTTTTCACTCCGATCCAACTATCCATGGTAATGCATGTGTAATGTGTTCAGAGAGTAGTGGTCCAGTTTTTACTCATTCACCCCCAAAAATGGTCAACAGATGTATATTCTTGTCTCAAAGTAGATTCCCTTTAGATACGTGCTTTGTCATGGCTTAATTTTCTGATGTAGTAATTCGTTTACACTGCATGTGGAGTCCCTTTTCACATCCATACCAAATGCCCCTTTTGTGCAACTCTTTGCATCAACTAGACCATATACTACTTGCGGTATGTAATTGTTTGAATTCCATGATTCTTTGCAAGTTTGCATAGTTATGGGACCTTTCTGTAGGATGGGCTATGTGTTTGCTTTGTTACATGGGCTGTTCAATAACTCTGTTTAATTTTTTCCCGGCAGGATGAGTGGTTGCCACTTTTACTTGGAAAGAAAAATCACTATCATTTGATGCTCTCTGGTAGCTTGTGATAGGATTTGGTGATTTTGTTTGTATCAAAGAATGGATCGCTGTGATACATCAGGATTTGTTAGCGGAGGGTGCAACTGTTCTTTTGGAAACCCTTGAATGGACATACTATAGATTAGCTCTTCCTCTTTTTGCCCTAAACCTTATACCCAAAATCTTTCAACCCTATTTCTAAAATTGAGAGTTCTCTTCTTGAATTCCTGTTAGTGTTCCTGGTTCATGGACAACACTCATTTGCATTGTACTCCTTTGTTTGAAAGTACTGGAGTCAAGAGAAAATCTGACGCCTTCGGTTTCACGAGAAACGTGTCACTCAGTCTGGGACTAGGCAACTCATCAAGTTATTCAACTCCCTTATTATCACCGGGAAAGGAAGCGGAACATGATTCGTCCATCAGTCTTGGTCTAACCATTGACCTTAATTGGGCTGACAATACGGCTCAAAACAAAACAAAAGGTTCTACATTAGAGAATGGAAGATCCCAACTGGACCTTGAACTGAGCCTTTTAACTGGTCTAACCGAATCAGGTACCACTACTGTCACCCAACATGTGGATGAAGGTTCAACATCATCTAGATGGAAGTCTGGACCTCCTTTGCAGACTATGGAGATAAACCCACCTGTATATATGCATCACGTTGATCCTCCCCCACGGAGACGTAATGCGAGCACAAAAACTTGCCAATTCGAAGGGTGTACGAGGGGTGCTAGAGGTTCATCTGGACTTTGCATAGCTCACGGAGGTGGAAGAAGGTGCCAGAGGGAGGGCTGTCAAAAAGGAGCAGAAGGAAAAACGGTGTTCTGCAAGGCTCACGGTGGGGGGCCGCGCTGCCAATTCCTTGGGTGTACCAAAAGTGCCGAGGGCCGAACAGACTTTTGCATCAATCATGGCGGCGGCCGGCGCTGCAGTCATGGAGGCTGTACTAGAGCTGCAAGAGGTGGGTCCGGCTTGTGCATCCGGCACGGCGGCGGCAAGAGGTGCAAGGTGGAGAGTTGCACGAAGAGCGCTGAGGGAATCACTGGTCTCTGTATCTCCCATGGTGGAGGCCGCCGTTGCCGGTACCCTTTGTGTACGAAGGGTGCTCAAGGGAGTACGCAGTTCTGTAAAGCTCATGGCGGTGGTAAGAGGTGCACATTTCTAGGGTGCACCAAGGGCGCTGAGGGGAGCACTCCGTATTGCAAAGGGCACGGTGGTGGCAAGAGGTGCACTCGTGTAGGGTGCACGAAGAGTGTGCATGGCGGCACTTCATTTTGTGTCGGTCATGGTGGAGGAAAGAGATGTGCGGTGGCGGAGTGCTCTAAGAGTGCAAGGGGTCGTACTGACTTCTGCGTTCGGCATGGGGGTGGTAAAAGGTGCAGATTTGAAGGGTGTAGTAAGAGTGCACAGGGGAGTACTGATTTCTGCAAGGCACATGGTGGGGGCAAGCGTTGCTGTTGGGGAAAGATAGGGCCCGAGGTTGGAGATAAAACTGCCACTCAGTGTGAGAAATTTGCAAGAGGGAAGTCGGGACTTTGTGCTGCCCATTGTGCCCAGATGATGGACATACAAATACAGGGTAGTGCCCCATTAGTTCAAGTGCCTCCACAACCCTTCACCCTTGGAAGTATAAATGGATTTACTGCTAGCCATCCAAATGGAACGACTGATGAAGTGATTCACCCACAAGTTAAGTTGGTAGCCGAAAATGTTTCAGCGAGTGAACTTTCACTTCCAGAAGGCCGAGTTCACGGGGGTAGTTTAATGGCCGCAATTTTGGGAGGTACTACCAAAGCTAATCAAGCCATTATTCCATCATCTTCATCAGGGCATGAAAAAGCTTCTGTTGTGCTTCGTAGCTGGGTGTAAAGCATAATCTCTTTATGGTGTGAATTACTGATTAGGTAGGTCTTGTCCGGTAGATATTTTTACTCTCCAGCTTTGAGTTGTTATGCATTTTTTATTTATTATTGATAGTTTGGTAATAATTGGTATTGGTATAGGGCTAAAGGTCAATTTAGAGTCTTGTGTGCTATGTAAATATGCATATTGGTCAAACAGTGCTTCCGAATTTGGTTTCTTTTTGCATTTTGCAACATATTATAATAAATAAATGCTACATTTCTACCTTGTTTCTATCCCTGTCTATTTTTTTAACAAGAAATCCTTTAATCCCAAAACCGTAGTTATTTTTGCATTGCTCTTGCATTATCATCTAGGTGACATTGTGGAATAACTGCATGTAGCATAAGATGGTCGGCTTGTGATGGTGAAGGAGCTCAACTGGTTGCGCTCCCTCTTCATTGCCTTGTAAACATGATCCAACCCTTCTTCAATCAATTCCATTACTGTCTGTGGCATTGGAGGTGTATTAATGTCTATCAACCCATCCAACATCTTCACCACTTCTCCCATTGAAGGCCTTAAACTGACCTCATCTTGTATGCACCAAAATGCCACCTTCAATGCTCTCACTAATTCTTCTTCTTCCACTGTCCCTTGTAATCTTCTATCTGCAACTTGCAATGGTGTTCCATTTGTCATCTCCTGGAATGAAAATACCATAATATAGGCAAATTAGAATACTTAGTAGAATAGTAGTGCAAATTTGGAACTTAGAGGACGCCAAGTAGGCAAGCAAAGGGAAATGTTGTCATAGGTTTGGTTTTACAGAGAAATTTGAAAACAAAAAGGATTATGAATAACATTTTTATTTTGTTTACAACATCCAAGCCTTTTGGGATTAAGGCTTGGCACAGTTGTCATGGCGCATGGCGATCGCCATGGCTCAATGACAATTTTCATGGCGCATGGCGATGGCGCATATACGAACGGCGCATATAGCACATATGGCTCTATGGCGATGACCACTTTTTCATGGCGATGGCGCATATGGCGCACGCCATATCTAGCCATTGACTACTATGAGGCTTGGATGTTGTTGTTGTTTATATACGTAGTATTTAGATATCTCGGGTCTGTGGTAATGCTATGATGGTATTTAGATATCTCGGGTCTTTAAATAAATAAAATAATGTTCTACCTTGTACGCCCACCCTGGGTAAAAGAAGTCATCTGCATTGAACTTCATGTCAAGATTTCTCCGGCCGCCGACAATTTCAAGAAGAAGCATACCATAGCTGTAAACATCAGCTTTCACTGTAATGGGACGGTTGCTGATCCATTCTGGTGCCAGGTATCCTCTGGTTCCTCGGATCATTGTCACAACATGGGAGTGTTCTCTCCCCATCAGTTTAGCCAGCCCGAAATCAGACACTTTTGGACAGAAATTCTCATCCAGGAGTATGTTTTCTGGTTTGATGTCACAGTGTATGATCCTGTTCCTACATTGCTCATGAAAGTAAGCAATCCCTTGTGCTGTCCCAAGGGCTACCCGGAAGCGTGTTGGCCAATCTAACAGCCTATCCTTGTTAGTGAATGAAGGGAAGATCCACTTGTCCAGAGATCCATTCTTCATGAATTCATACACTAAAAGCCTGGTCAGTAGAATTTGATTTTTTTAGTCTACTTCAAGAGAGTCATATTATTTTGTGTTCCGAAAATTCAGGAAATTACCTTTTTGTTCCATCGGAGCAGAATCCACAGAGGCGGACGAGGTTCATATGATGCATGGAACCAATGGTGTTCACCTCTGTGATAAATTCTTTCTCTCCATGTGGTAAAACTTTATCAAGCTTCTTTACTGCAATCAATGTTCCATCTCCGAGCGCACCACTGAATACACTCCCAAATCCACCTGACAACATAAACTACTATTGTTTTTACTTTTAGTAACCTCCATGTTTTCAGCCTTGTCAGTCGTAACAAGAGAGAATGACCCCTCACCCCGCCATACCCTCTGTAAATAACTCCGTGTTCAGTCCACATTTCCCCCTAAGTGATCTTAGGGGCGAAATGCCATTTTTAATCTAAATATTACTCCCTTTGTCCCATTTTATAAGATGTCTTTACTATTCACTTGGTCAACACAAATCACTCTTAATATCTTACTTTATGTATCAAAATTTTATGAAATTTGAATTATTTTTTGCAGGTTTTGTAGCGGGTTTAATGTAGTTTCTGAATATGTAATTTTTTTTTCTAAAAAATAATTTGAGTGCAGACAGGGACCAATTTGCTTTATCGTCGGTCAAACATCGTAAACCGAAAAATATCTTATAATTCGGGACGGAGGGAGTATATGATAGTATATGTTATCAGTAATCCGTCTATGAATCTAACCCTCTTATTGAAACATGTTAATATTGATGATAGACAAGACCCATCTATCATTACCTGTTCCCAGCAAATGAGAGAAGTTGCTGGTCCTGGATTGCAAGTCGCGATAAGCAAAGCTAATTGGAGCTCCAGAAAGCATCATTGAGCTTTCCAGAGCTCTCCTCAGTGACCTCTTTCTGTGAATGCTGATATACAACAAGCAAAACAGGAGTCCAATGAGTAGAGTCAGTAGACTCATGCTCAATGCAATGGGAAGCACCAAAACCTTGTCACGATCATTCTTATCCATTGATGACCCTCTCGCCCTCATCCTTGTACCGTTCCCCCCCTGGAATGAGCCATTGCTCTCCACTTTCACGAACATAGTTGAGCTTGGGTCTTCGAACCCCCCGAATTCCAGGCTACTGAGGAGCCAACAGTAAGGCTTTTCCTCAAGAAGCCCATTCACAGAAGCTATACAGTCACAGTCAGACAAGCAGGCGTTCCCACATTTGGATAAACTCTCAGTGTCACTGTAATTCGCTATCACTGATTTCTTGGAGAAGTAGTAGTTTGTCTGCTGGACTGTTTCCATCTTGAAGTGACCTCCGGTCAGGTTCTCGTGATGGCGGTCACATTTCCCGGTTAGGGAGGAGTTCTGGTAACACTGGACATCAGTTCCAGTCAATGGGTTACTCCCTGGCAAGCAGCGGCAAGAAGCATTCGTCTTGGTTCTGTCTAAACTGCATATACCATTGCCACATATTCCGCCGATGTCACACGGGTTCGACACTGCTGCCCACTCCGGGACCCACTGGCTTGTCCCGTTAACATCACTGTCCCATCTGTACAGCCTTAAATTCCCATTGCTCTCTAGAACTAACCGCCTTAGGAGTCGGTTGGATGTCACGGATTGGGTTGTGGCAGATGATAACCCATCATCGTCATCGCCATCATTCTTGTGCACATATACGGCACCAGCGGAAGACGAGCCATACACAATTCCGAAGCTCCCCTTCTCATCCAGAATCGCGACCACGTTTCCAGTCACATTTGAGATGTCCGGTCCAGACCAGTAGGAGTAGTTTGAGTATGACTCGGGCGAGTAATCCAGAGTTTCAAGGACATTATAGGTCAAAGCAAGGTTTAAAGAGGTGGGCTGTTGTAACATTTTCAGTGTGTAGTATCCTGGAGAAGGGAAAGCTGAGGATGAGATAAGTTCCATGGAGGCCATTAATGGTTGTCCTGGTAGGAGAGTATCAGATGGATGTGAGAAGCTCTGCCAAAGGATGGTTCTGTTGTGGGTTAGGAGGAGGAGGTTGCCCGTTTCTGACACAGATGCCGTCTCGGCCCCTGCGTCAGAGGTGTTTGATGTCCAGACAGTGGTGCTGCCATCGGTGAGGGTGAGGCTACCGGAGGTATCTAACTCCAAGATTGCATCTTTGCTGACTGGGGAGTTTCTATTCAAGATTATTAAGAGGAGAAAATTGATGAATGGTGTGTTGGCCAAACAGTTGATTTATTTGCCTGCAAAACCTTAAGTAAAAGTGTGGAGATGGAGGAAACCTTTGCAATGCATGCACTAATTTCTTCCCTCTCTGTTTTTGTCTTCCTTTTGAACTTTATTGTTTCCAAACATAAAAATGCTTGGATTATTTAATGTAATACAGAATAATTAAAAAGTGATTTTTGTTTTTACTTGTATATGTTTGCAATAGCTCTGTTGTTGACAAACATACCATTGTTATATTGTCTATATTTAAAAAGTTAAACAATCAAACACTTATTCCACAGAAAGAAAAAACATTTCGAGTATCATATTAGGGCCGGGTTTGAGTTGGATTGGTTACTACCGAAAATAGAAACATGCATTTGGAATGAAGAGGAGAATTTTACTTGTGAGTCATGGGCACATACATGTTAGGGGACCAGACTAATGTAGGATTTCCAGGAAGCTGTGCGAACCAAATCGCTAGCTGAAACCGTTTGGTGCTAGAGCCGCCGCTAGTGGTGGGCGTGAAGCCGAAGGCAAAGGTTCCGTTGTCAGAAACCCAACAGCGCTTCACGCCGTCGTCCTTAGCTAACAATCTTGAACCCAACCTTATCCCTCCATCAATGCATCCACATAGCTCAGCAGATATAAGGACTCCGGCGAGAATGATGAGTGTCAAACTCCGATAATGATAAGTCGCCATTTTTGGTTTCTTACGTTGGCCGTCAGGTGTTTAGTTTGTGTCTGGCCGGGTGCCCGGGTGGTTGACAATGGTGGAATGTGGATGTACAAAATAATAAGGATAACAATAATAATGTGTTGAGGAAGAAAATCAGCTTCCATGGGAAGGCCTTCAAGTCTTATTTATTCAGTTCACAAGAAGTTGGAGACTATTTCTTTTGGAGGGGGAGAGATGGTGACAGGTGTAGTGTGGAGTGTGGTGGGTGAGCTACAACGTTGAAAGTTGAAACAACGCGGGAGGTTTTGATGATTGGTCGGCCACAGGCTTCGAGGCACGTGTCTCCTCCATCTCTCTTGCTTTTCGCACTAGAGGTGTAGTATTATTATCGAGTTTTTACCATTTTTGGCCCCCGACTATTATGTCAATGACACTTTTGATATCCGACTTCTAATTTTTCCACTTTTAGTCCTCGACTATTGTGCTAAAGACACTTTTAGTCCCCGACTTCAAGGTTTCTCACATTTAGTTCCTGAGTATGTCAAATTGACATTCTTAGTCCCACCGTTATGATTTTGACACAACAAGTGGAGGAGAAAAAATGTCACTATTGTAATGGTTGAAGGACAAAAAATGTCACTTTTATGAAAGTTGAAAGACTAAATATGAAAATTTTCAAAGACAGGTACCAAAAGTGTCTCTAGCGCAATAGTGAAGGACTAAAAATGGAAAATATCAAAGTCGAGTACCAAAAATGTCAATGACATAATAGTCGGAGGACTAAAAGTGGAAAAAAATCTATTATTATCCAAGTACAAGTATGGAGGGTTGGCCTATTGGCCTCACAAGGTGTGCTAGGTCCACTAGCCGACCTACACATCGACATACTCCGTATTTTTTGTACTAAAGTTGTAGTATTATTATCCTAGTACACGTATGGGGGTTATCAATTTTGTGTGAAATAAGAAAAATATACTATGTGATTCTTTCTTCCAAAGTGGAACTATGAAGTACAAGACACGAGATAAATCTTCCAAAGACAAAGGCTCCCCAATCCCAAGGCTCCCACGACTCGACCCGACAAGACTTTTGGGAGGTTGTAAGTCACGGTGACTCAGTCGGCCCTATGGTGGTAGACCTTATACCCGTGCACACCAGAGATCCAGCCCAACACGCAGGAGCTGTAACCTCCACACGGCTGCTGCGAGTTTCGGTCTTTGGTCATTCTTCCAACTTTCTCACCACTCAACCAACTGAGCTATCCTTGCGGGTATACACTCTGTGATTCTTGGTTATACCAGATGAATCTCGAATCCATTATTATAAAAGGAAAGTGATAATGTTTTTAAAATAAATAAAAGAGCAACATTGATAAAGTCTAATGAGAGGGCCATAGGGAGGAACCCGTCGAAAATAAATTGGTGGATGAGGGTAGAAGCAGCGGGCGTAGAAATTCCCGCTAGGAAGGGCGGCAGTGTAAAAAAATACATATGAATACATATATATTAAAAATTTCAGGGTAAATAAACTCAGAAGAAAAAGATTTGGGGGCGGCGACAGCCCCCATTAGCCCCACGTTTTGTCCAGTCTGGAGGGTAGCATGAAGATGATACTTATTAAGCATTGTGGCATTTATGGTATGCATGATAGCATTTGAGGTAGCACTATTTTTTTTGGAACAAGTGGCAGCACTATTATATTCCTTATGTAGTATTTATATTTTGTCAATCTTTTAAAAGACGTGAGACATGACAAGGCGTTGAGATCAAGTCTCAATTGTTTGAAGCCTAGGCGTGAATAGACGAAGTACAAACATGAAAAGACGTTTTAAATTTATATTTTTTTAATCATCAAAACAGACAAATTATATTAAATCAATAAAACGTTTTCCAGCTGGCTGACAATACAATGAGGATTTTTATGGCTGACAATACAATCAGAGATAAAATAGGAAAGAAAATGATAATAGGTCTTATGTGTGTTGTCTGTCCTTGAACCAGACTTAGAAAATATTACCTCCGTAGAAGCAATAAGAATCGATGATCCTGTAATGGGCTTAACTGAGCCAATGACAGACATACCAGACTTCTCATTACCTGACTTAAATGCAAAAAAACTTTCTGCTAGAAAAAAAGAACACACCCAAAACAACATGTAGTTCGAAAGAAAAATACAAACAAAATAAAACAAAATCAAAACAGAATTCACACGTCTTCTTCCAAATCCTAGACTCTTTTGCACTCCATGGCGGCGGCTCACGAGTGGGACGAGCCCCCGGAAACGTCTGCTCCATGCACGCCGCAGCGTCCTCCTCATTGAGCACCAGTTCATCATCCTCAGTCCCGATCTCCAAATCGTCGCATTGCCCGATCAACTTTTCCATCAGTCCTGCGTTTCCAACCATGTTCGTTAGATTGCCTCCTTGTCACGCTGCGAGGATCTTCGTCCCTATCTGCCAATTATTCTCTCGCTAATACGCAAAGTGATTTGCCCGCTACCGCTGAAGCGAAGCCGCACGATCCCCAAAATGGCAATCTGCAGAGAAACTTGAATAACGTCTAGGCACACCTAGACTTACATCTTTTCACGCATTTCATGGTAAGCTCTTTAGTTGGTTGTCTTTTTCATATCTTGCTACTATGTGAGACGTTTTACTGGTGCATAATGTCTAGGTGCGCATATGACTTTTTGTCCCTTTTAGAACACTACATTTCGTGAGTAATTAGATAAGTAGTACCCGAAGGCCGGAGTATGTGATATTGTAAGTCATGGGGTAACATATGACCAATTGGAATTGAACGGGAGCACTTACCCAAACGGGCAAACCACAGTGACCAATAATAATGTAATAATTAGGGTTTATTTTGTAATTCTCCATAACTCTGTGATGGATAGTCTACCCGGGGGTATCTTATCCGAGGGGTTATTACGGGAATAACTTAGAGAGAAGTCAGAGCAAATAGGAGGAGAGAGAGTCGATTTTATTAAATGAACTCGAGATGTGGAGTTGAGATGCAGATGATGTCCATTACAAGGAGAAATGGGCTGCTATTTATAGCAGCAATAAATGCGATGAGAGGACACGTGTCAGTAATCCAACGGCCGAAGGGTCACATCAACCGGTTGGCACCGGCAGTGGTACGTTTACCGCATTGAATGCGGTTGGTGGATGTGACGTGGTATTAAATGCGGTGGTTGGCTGTCTCCAAAAGGAATCTTTGATGATTGAGCGTGTTTGGCCGAAGGCTTCTGGTGTAGCCGAGGGCTCCGTGTAACCGAGGACCCCTGTGTAGCCGAAGGCCCCGAGTGGCAGAGGGCTAAGTTCAGCCGAAGGCTCCCCTGATGCCGAGGGCTTGGTAATGCCGAAGGCTCATGTTTTTCGCCGTTTTCTCCCAGTGGCTTCGTATGTCAGAGAGGGCTACTCCGTGAGTTTCTGGAGCCTTCGGCCAAGGAGGCCGAAGGCACCCCAGTATGTATTTCGGGCTATTTTGGGGCTTGGGCCGTTGCTTTTGGGCCTGAGTTGTTCTCTGGGCTCATTGGATATGTGTAGGAGAAGTAGGAGTCTATGGGCCGGGGGTTCCTGGGCCATATACTCCATCAGGAGTCCCTCACTCCTTTTGCGGAAAGGTACTTGAGGGAAAAGGAGTAGAAGTGTAGATTCTTCCGGAGGCTTCATCGTCTGTTTGGGTGCCTTTGTTTGAGAATTTGCCTTCTGTTGATTGCCGAAGGCTTCCCTCAGTCCCTCACATGTCGAGGGTTTTCTGAGGGAAGGTATTCGTAACCTTCGCATCTTCACCGGGGGCTCCCCTCAATCCCTCACACGTCGAGGGTTTTCTGAGGGCAGTGTAACACCTGTATGACTGCAGAAGGCTTTCCTTAGTCCCTCACATGTCGAGGATTTTCTGAGGAAAGCATGGATGTATTGTCTGCATGTATTGTGATGAGGGGTTGTACTGTGATGTTTGCCCGGAGGCCGTATGCGTCAATTGTAAATTGTTGCATGAAGAAATTTTTGTTGTGTATGATCCCCGAGGGGTGTTTCCCAGTCCCCCACTCCTTTAGGCCGAAGGCAAGTTCGGGCTGAAGGAGTTATGATGAGTTGGTGAGCCCCCGAGGGGTGGTGACGTTGATAAGCCGAAGGCTTATGCTGCTGTGGGCTCGAGGGCGTTTTGGCGGAATTCGTCGCCCGAAGGATGCGGTGAGTGATAACCGGAGGCTATCATTCGAGGGCACCCCAGTGTTGCCGAAATATAGTCGTTGTAATATAGCCGTTGGAAGAGGGGGTGACGTGGCACGTTCCCGTTGGTTGAAAGGGGGCGGGTGTCACCCATAGGCTGAGGCGGCGGCCCGTAATGATGGGCTTTTCAAATCGAAGCCCAACTCTCGAGGCCCAGTTGCCTATAAATACCCTGAGCTTGAGCTCATTTGTCCTTGCGCGATTTTAGAGAGATAGCGGAGCTCTGCCAATTTTTCTAGAGAGAGAAACCTTCGCCTTCGATCAAACGCAACTCTTAAGGTCAGTTCTTCCTCCGTTGTTGAGTTCCTTAGTAGGTTTTGTTCTTCCTTCCTTGATTAAGTGTTGAAACCAATTTAGAGCCCTCGGTTAGGATCTCTTCCCTGCCTATCTTCATGTCTTCCGCGAGTGATTCCCAAGATATCTCGAGGGACCCCTCGGTTCAAGCCGAAAGCATTTCCGATGTGGTGTCTTCGAGCGAACAGCCCTCGACAACTAACGATCTGGCCGTAGCTGAGGAAGTGCAGAGCCGCCTCCTGGTGGAGATGGAAGCTGAAGATTTCGAGCAAGTAATCGAAGACGAGGAGATGGCCATCGCGGTCCAAGTCGCCCAGGAGGCGGAGGAGAGTGAAAGGCAGAGGGTTACCGTGGCTATGATTCCCCCTCGCAGAACTGGTGAGGCGAGTAGCTCCCGGCCCTTGGATCCGGAGCCTCTTAGCGTTGCCCCTGCCAAGAAGAAGAAGAAACTGAGGCCCGCTCCGAAGAAGAAGCAAGCGGCCGTGGACGCCGGGCAGCCGGTCGGGATCCCTGAGGGGCATTCATATTTGGATACTACGGCCCTTGAGGTGAAGACCACAGCGTCGGGTGCCGAATGCTTAGCCCTCCAAGTCCTCGTGGGGCCGTCGGCACAAGTAGTAGAACCGGGGCCTGACGATCTGCTATCCCATCCCCCCGAAGGGTGCTTTTCGGCGCATATGCTGTCGGTGGAGTTGGGCCTTAGA